AGACTGAGAGGATGGAAAAGAGCATCTTCTTTTCCAGTAGTGTGTATACCTCATTCTGACCACAGTTCTGTCCATTCCTGTGGTCACACCTCCTCTCTGCTCCTTTTGACCTGCATCACTGCAAGATACAGCCCCATGGTACATCAAGGTTCCTGGGAATGCAGGACCAAATTCCAATATCCTTGTTTAGGATCAAGTCATTCTTCAATAGACATTGAAGTAAATTGATAAAACCCCAATCTATGTCATAATTTAACCTGTTTTCAGAGTGTTACCCGAGGACAGAAAATTCACGGTGGATTTTGTGGGATATTGCTCTGCTGGGAGATTGACTGTAGCATTGAGAGGGGTAAACACCTGGACAGGTCAGGACAGGCTCTGCCAGCCTGGGACTGTGTGGTAGGCAGACAGGAAGTGTCAGAACTCTTCTCCCATGTGAAAACCACAAAGATGTCATTGTGGGCCTGTAGGACCCAGTCTGGTTGTCTGGTGGTTCAGATGTGAGCCTGCACTCTGAGAGCCCTTCGCTTCTGATGCTCTGGTATAAAATGAGTGCATTCAAAGGAACTGGTAGTCTGGCATTTCATTGGTGTAATTATTCATGGAGTTCACTCTATTCCTCCTGCAGAGATGTGACTATTGTTACAATTTCACTGTAGCATGACCAGGAGAATACAAACAGACACGGAAACTGAATTACTTTATCCCTTTTAGCTGTGGGGAACTTTATACTCAATCTGTACATCTCTGCTGTATTATAGCAGATGCAGAAACAGAGCCCAATTTCAGGGCAGTTAATCTGGCTTTCAGAAACATTGCATTCACTTTAAATTCCCTTATTTCATGACTTCATCCGAGGTAAAACAAAGAGAAGAAAGGAACTGTCTTTGAGCACTGAAATGTGCCATTTCCTTCAGATGGACATAGCTACGCAGATTTAGGAGGATGTGTGCATGCATATGTTTATGTGACTTTGTGTGTTTATTGCTTCAGAATTGCCTAGAGTTACATCATCCCAAGAGATCTATTCAGCCCTGTATGCTCAGATGGAATATGATGTTTGCACATAAAATGATAAGGATTTGTAAAGCACTCAGACAGGAAGGTGAGGTGAGACAGTTATAAAACAGATGCTGACACTACTTTTGAGCTAGAGCCCTCTGAGATCGGCTGTCCAGTGATTGAGTAGCCTGTATTTGAAAAATACTTTCCATGGATTTTTTTTATTTGAAAATAATTTTAACCAATAATGGAAATTCATTATTTTGATCTGACATTTAAGTACATTTTCAATTGTATCCAGATTTCTGTGACTAGAAGAAAAAACCCTATAATTTTCCTAGTGACAAGGATAAATGAAATATTTCTGAAGTATTAAAAAGACCATCTAAATTTTTGAAGTGATAGGACTTGATTTGAAATCAATAAATAAATTTGATATAAAAAAACACAGCAAGCATAGCAAGCATCAGAGAAAAAGCTTTATCTGATGCATGTGTGCATCCTCTCTCTGTTTAACATAATATTTTCTTTTTGACAGGAAACTTGGTGACTCAACAGTCACTCATAAAAAAAAAGGCAAAGACTGAAAGATCATTATCATAATTATCATAATTTTATTATTGCCATTAAATATTTATTATCCCAGTTCAGTAACTGGTACATGAATGTACTTTGTGATAGAGATAAATGTGTGTGTTGCATGCACATGCCTTTGACTGTTCTGCACATGCAGGGTGGATTATACTGGAGCCATATATATCTATCTGGGTTAGATACTGGCATTTGAGGGTGCTGAAAATACACAGAACTCAACACCTAGGAGGCTGAAGTTTTATCAGCCCTACCCTGGGCATTCAGGGTCTCTCAACCTGATACACCCTCTCACCATCTCCTTTGAGGATGATCTGTTGTGGTCTGAAAGTGGGGTCTGCAACCTATGGCAAACTGCAAATTTAGTGAGATTCTTTCTTATATATTCAACTAGTAGTCCAAATTTGATCACACCAAACAGTATCTTTAATACAGCAGATCATGCTTCTGCTCATTTAAAAAAACACACCTAATACTAGCTCCGTTCAGGTTGTGTTCCTTTGTTGGCACGATAGGCAGTTTCTGGAATGAAAGCAGTGCTCTGTATTTATCTATATTTATCTTTTGGAAGCAATGTAAGATTGAGCTCTAGAAAGTCATCAGCTGTTCATGTTATTTTCACAGCATTGTCTGCACAATCAGCATCCCAATTACCTTTAAAATCACTAGAAATAAATGGGTTTTTTCATGATACAAAGCTTGGAAAATACCCAATAATTTATAAAAGCAGGCTGATGTCTTCCTATCAGTTCACCAGCACAAAAATCAGCTTGAGAATTCTACAGTCATGTGTAAGACGTCGTAATCACTGTCATCAGTAATCAGAAATATGTGGTTTGAAGTCAAGCATGTTAACCTGTGTATATTCATTTACTTATTCCTTCCTAACTCAGTCCTGCAAAGATAAATGAGCCTATGTATAAAATGAGCAACATAGTTAAGTATAGAACTGGGGTTTTGTTCTCCATGGATAAGAATGGAAAGATTTTTGAAATATTTCCACAAACCATTAATTTTTAATGTTTCTTAATGATGGATTCTGCAGTACTGACATTCCACATTCTTGTACCCATTTTATTTAGCTTAGACATATTCTCGGCTCTTTCAGGAATATGCACGTTTGTGCATGTCCCTCCTCCCTGACTATAAAGACAGGAACCCATCAATACTTCAGTTTTGTGACACCTCAATATTTTTTTCTCAGCATTTTTTGAAATTTTTGACAGCACAAATTTGAAAGTGTCTCCTTTTCATGTGTTCACTTGCTCATCTCCACTTAGTTTAACTCCTGTCCCTGTATGCCAATAGATATTATCAGTAAATCCTCCTGGTTTAATCTCCAAAATGTCTCAGAAATCTCTTCTTTCCTCTTCATTCTCCCCATAAAATCTTTGTCAAGTCCATCCTTCTCCACATCCATTCCTACTGCGACCTTGCTGTCTTCAGCCTCTAAATGACACTCACATTAGCCAGTTTTTAAAGCAGTGTAATGCAAAAGTAATCCACTGCTCCCAGTATTGAGATCTCATTAAGATATTCCTAAATCCCTCTTCTTCACTGTCTCCCTATTGCCTTCTAAATCTGATCGAAGCTCCTTTTATCACCGAGTTGCTCTTGACCTAGCCTACCTTCTCCTGTCCTTGCTCTGTTCTTCCTCATCTTTCTTCTTTATGTGCTCCCTCCTCACCCATTGCCAGTCACAGTGCAAACCAGTTGCAATTAGACCTGTGCACTGCCTTCGATGTCATCCACGACACCTGTGAGTGCAGTGAGCAGGCCAACAGCACCATTCCAGATGGAAAATTCCTGATGTAATGGGCATAGTCCCCCTTGTAAGTTTGAATCATTGACTAGTGAAAAGATGTTGTCACGTGCTCTTTTAACAAAAAGCAAAGGAGGCATTTGTCTCCCAATAGTTAGACTATGGGGTTTTTCTGAGTCATCCACAATTTCTCCTTTGAATCAGACAAAGTTTTTTACTATAACTTTACTATCACTGGCATTATGAAATTGCTCTCCAACCAGTCTATCTGGACACCCCTCACAGAATACTGATGTCTAGACAAAATTGAAATGTACATCTCTGACCTGTAAAAATGCGTTTCCAGCTCTTAAGACTTAGGTTGCAACTTCCTGCTCTCTTGCTTACTGTTAAAATCTTTTAGCTTGATTTTGGGAAATAATAAGACACAGAACAACAACATATATTTTCTGCATTATAAGCTTTCAGCCCCTATTATTCCACTGAAGTTTAGCAGCAGGATCTGTAAGTTAGTACAGCCCAGCTGAGCTTACAGCACATGCCAGCACAAGGGACAGGACGTGCAGATCAAAGCTGTCCTCAGGTCATCTGATTTTCTGTTCCTCTGTGTCTCCATGCACTAGATTACGGGAAAAGTTAACAAAACAAACAAATTCCTAGTCCCTTCCTCTCTTACCCTTTAAGTCCTTCCCCTATCACAAAGTCAAACAGGAGGAAAAAAGTCTTCCTACACCTGGACCCTTTGTTCATTATTCTGCAGTTCATCAGAAATTAACATCCGGTTCCTGGAGCTTCATCTCCAGGACTTTTTTTGTTTGCCAAGGTATTCCAGAAGTACTTTGTGCCAACCAGACACCTACGTGCTACTTCTACATTCCTCACACCTCCCTGGCCTGAGTAGAGTTTTACCCACTGAACTCCAACCAGCAGCGACCATGAGGCTGGAAAATGGTGGTGAGCAAATAGTTCCTAAAAAGTTTAGAAAAAATTGTTGCAAAATCTAGAGATAATTCCCAAGAGCATACTGACCCATCTGGTACCTACCAAAGTCCCAGCCTCAAAACTTTCTAGTCAGACATGACATACTTTGTCACAGTGACATTCCACAGCCTCATGTGTTTTATTTACCTTAGAGAGATTCTCCATTCTCCCAGCAGCACGGCTGTTTGTGCACATCCTGCAGCTTGCATCTATAAGGACAGGCACACGTCATTGCTTCAGTTTTACAGTGTTCAACATGAGAGCTGTCATCTCCAGAAAGCTGGGAAAGACTGTAGGCACATTGTCCCTGGCAAGATTAGAGAAAATAGTGCCACATCAATGCATGATATAAGGACACGCTGAAGTCTCATCATGCTATAATGAGAATAAAACTGCTCTTGCATTAAACACAGACATGACAAATGCTGTATTGAACATGTCTTATTACACAATCCACAAACTCATAGAAATTTGGTCTCCTTCAGTTTCTGAGTTTCCTGCCTCTTTCCTCCCTGCCTATGTCTTTGTTTTCCTCACAAAGCAGAGTTCAGTGATTTCCTGTACCTCCCTTACATCCCATTACCCTTAAAGCAACCTTGCTTGACTGCAGTAAAGATCCATCTCAAAACTGAAGAAAGCAGTAAGAACAACTGCAGTTAGCCCAGATTGATTCCAAACAAAAAGAGTCTGGGGCTCACATATCCTCATGTCAGCAGGAAAAGGTGGAAGGAAGCATGTAGACCGTTACCTCTGAGTCATAAACACTGAGCAAGTTACTATTCTCCTCCACCTCTTCCTCACTCTCCCTCATCTGCTCCACCTGCTGCTCCCGCACTGCCACAGGCTGCAGTCACCCCTTCCAGCTTCAGCCTGCCCCTCTCCCAAACAGCTCCATGCTCCTCTAACCTCCTCACCCCGCAATCCTCTCTGATATCCTCTGCAAGACGCAGCCTCTTCTTTCCCTTTTGCTTTCTCCTTGCTTTCCTACTTGCCAGCAGACCAAGTCCTCAGCCCCTCCTGACCCTTCCTGTCCTGCCTGAGAGCCTCAGGAACTTCTGGAAGCGTGAGGCTTGGGACAAAGAGCAGTGTCAGGGCTGTGCCTGTCCCGGGACATCGCTTTCCTGACAGTCATATGTGCGTATTTTGCACATGGTCGTACATTTTAAAGCAAGGAGGGTTTTTCTCTGACACAGGGGCTCTGCACCAGGCACTGCATCAGCACAGCAACAGCATCACCAATGAAACTGCTTCCATTCCTAGGTAGGTGAAATCTCTGTCTCTGGGGAGTGTGTGGCAGGTGAGAAGGGAGTGGGGTCTGGCAAGGAGAAATTATTATATTGGGGATGGTTGGAAGCTGCTGGATACACAGGACTGGAAGTCCTTGTAGCTTTGATCAGTGCTGATGCTGGATTTGGTAATTGCATGGCTAGTATCACCCCACAACCAAACCCCAAAATGCCTCTCTTTATCTCGCTGTGGCTTTTGTATTAAAAAAGAAAAACAGAAACATTGTGAGTTTCTGTGCATTTGGTTTGCGTTTTTTTTCCTTCTCCCTCTCCATCTGTTTGGGAAATTTTTAGATTTCACATGCTGAAAACAGTAAAAAGACAACAGAATCCCACAGGTTTCTGTTTTTATCCCTATGGACGACAGTTCTTCCTCTCAGAAACACAGAGAAAATGTGAAATTTGTTGATATCTAAATTGACTTGGATTAGATAGAATTATTTAAAATTTGTGTGTAATTTTTAGTCTTTTGAACTTTTTGTGAAGGCTTAATTTGTCCAAGAAAACAACATATTGGTGAGATTTCATGAGGCAACTAAACTGTAACACTAGGCTAGCAAATATCTGGAATGGCATTTAGGTAGGGAAAAGCAGAACTGCAAGGGAAGAAAGATCTTAATGTTCTGTAACTTTCACTACATCCTGCTAACAATTTGTAAACTGCAAAGTAAAAAACTTATTTTCCCTTCTGAGCTAAATGCCTTATAACTAACCAATTATTGGGTGTGTGTGATAGTACAGTGATCTGTAAGTTTTCTCAGAAGGGGAGATTCCTTTTTTACTTTCTCTTGAAAACCATATGCATTCATACAATGACAAAGTAGTTATGGTATTTTAAGAGATTAAATTTAAATAATTTGCCACACCATAAATAACTTTTAAACAACACTGTCATAATGATGTAAATATGTGACATTTCATCTTAAATCTACCAGACCATGCCTATGTGCTACCTACAGAAGTATAGGAATAAAAAGAACATTTATTGTAAGAATAAAATGTCTGATCAGGGGAACCCTATTTGGTATTTTTCTGTCGGACCTGTAGGGCAGTTTGGATTACACTCCATGCATAATTCAGAGTGGAAATAAATGCCTGGGCTTTACTGGAAACTACTAGAGAGCTTTGAAAGCCATCCAAATGTTTCCCTCAGATCACCGAGTAACTTCTATGCTGTTTACCAATTTGATACTGGTTGAGAACACATTTGAGTCGTTTATTTGTGGTGTCTGCTGTTTTACCAAAGGTGCCCCTGTAGCTGGTGGCCCTTGCCCTATCCTGCACTACAACTGAGTCTGTGATGATGTCTACTGGAATACACCCATTTTGTGGAAACCTTTGGCCCAGATCTTGTTTTAGAGCTCAGAATAAAATTTTTAGATAATGAAACAAGTCTGATTTTCCTTTGTTCCAGTTCTGATTTCCAGTCTGCTGGACTATGGCTGCTCTTCTCCAAGCTGCAACATGACATGCCACAAAGATGCCAGGTGTGAAGTTCAGGGTGGGACAACAGGCTGCTATTGCACCCAAGGATACACAGGAAATGGCATAACAGTCTGTAAAGGTAAACAGATTTTACCTATAAGTTTTTTTGTAATTTGCTCACTTGTAAAACTTACCCAAAAGCCCACTAGCTCAAGGATTAAACTTTATATCACAACAGTGTCAGACACTAACATGTTTTCAAAGCAAAAAATATTAGTATTTTCTGAGACATTGTACAAATTACACTCAGCCTGGTGTTTTGATACAGCTTGTCATGTATGTCAGTTGAGTATGACCTGTTTTCCAGCTCTCCTTTTCCATGAGAGCTGCTAACTAATCTTTGCTGATTCACCTTTGGCAATTTCCCTTTGGCTCAGGATTTCTGAAGTCAGGGCTGGTGTGGTGGCTCCCTGCCTCACACACACAGCACTTGGCCACTCTTCCCAACAGCTGATCACCATCAATCAGCAGCTCCTGGGCTGCTCTAGAAAACCAAGGAGGTCTGTATGCCACAGAGATGTCCAGCGTTGATTTTAATACTACAGCTTCTTGCAAGAGAAATATGCCAGAAATCCTATGAAGGGATCTACTTTAGGATGACTCTGTCTTTCATCTAAAATATTTTTCCTGACATCATATTTGAGTTGTCTTCCACTATGAATAGCTCTAATATTTATTTTCACTGTTAGGTATGGCTATGTTCAGCTGAAGACAGGTTGAAATTCACATAGTCTTGTCAGTTTTCAGTATTCTGAGAAATAGTTATGAGCAGTAACCACCTACCAGATCGGTTTTTGTGTTTCAAATATCTTGGGAAATTTAGCAGTTACTACTTAGCAGTTACTACTTAGCAGTAACCCTTTGGTTTGGTATGAGTGTAAGAAAACAGCCCACAGGTATTTTGTTTTTTTATACCTCATTTGCCATGCTGTGTTTGGAAGTATGTTTGTTTAGGAAAATTTAGAATGCAAGGGCCTTTTTTCTAAGAAAGGTGTCTACCCTTTTATAAGGTGAAGATGTTTAAAGAGAAATATAGATGGCTAAAATAAGAAAAAAATGAGGAATCACAAAATCATAGAATAATTTAGTTTGGAAAAGACTTCTGCAGGTCATCTGGTCCAGCTCCCCACTCAGAGCAAATTCAATTTATAACAGGTAGCTTAGGGCTTTGGCCAGCTGAATTTTGCTTATCTCCAAGGATGAAACCTGCACCTCTCTGGGCCCTTGTTTCAATGTCTGACTGCCATAATTCTGAAAATATTTTTTCTGATATCTGGTTGAGGTTTCTCTGGTTGCAGCTTGTAACTTTTCCTTCCCATGTGCCTTTACCACTACATATCTAATAATAGTTTAGCTTCATCTCTCCATAAGCCCTCATGACCTCCCATCAGGTAGTGTAGGCAGCATTATTATTTGCCCTTTGCCTTCCCTTCTAAAGTCTGAACAAACTCTGTTCTGTCAGTCTCTTCTTTGTATCATGTTATAAAGTTTCTAAATGTATTGCTTGAATTTAATGTTAACCTTGCATGATCACTTAATCATTATTTGTCTATCAAGCTGGTCAAAAGAAAGTAAGAAATGACCTTCACAACACTGGTTTTGCTCTTGCAGTCGTTCAGTTTTAGTACCATGAAAGCCACCTGGTTTCAACAATAAGTGCACATCATGTTTGCAGAGTCAAGGACCTACACTTGTGAATAATGTAGAGAAAGAAGAAAACCAAGTCGATTTTAACAATACTGCCTGGAATAAATCAAACCAGCATTTACTTACCTAGCATCATCTGATACCCACTCCATTGTCTGTACTGGTCTAGAAAGTCTTTTTTTGTGAATCATCAATTAAATTTGCAGTAAAGACACCTGTTGTTCTCACTGCCATGACTGATGTTCTTAAACCCACCCATTATTTATGTACCTATTATAATGTTATTAAATCCAAATTTGTGAAGACAGATTTATCTTGCCTTCTATGCTCTTTTATTTCTTACACAATACCTTTTTCTTACTTTCTCTTTTTCCTGTATTTTCTTAGAGAAATCTACATTCAAATTTCATAAAAACATTTACTGAGCCCTTAAAGAAAATTCAGTGTAGTGAAATATGCATTCACAAATCTTGTTAATCAGTTAATTATTTATTAAGAATTATACTCAGTGTTTGAAAACTCAGTCTTTAAAATAAAATTTCCAGTGTCAGTCCAGGCAAACAAGATGCTAGATATATTTGTGGTGCTTTGCAGTTAAGTGGCAATGGTTTGAAGCAAGTCTCGTGTCTGGAGACCAACATTTTCTCTGGTAAAATACCTCAACAGCCACCAAAGTCACTTACTCTCCAGCAAGGCAGCAAAGCTTATATCAGAACTGTGTGGCTGAAAGACAGACAATGTTTCTCTAGGGTAGCATTTAACACGGTGCATTACTAATACTGTGCAGTAGTCCTCTAATAGCATGAAGGAGTAACCAGAATTTTAATTGGGTAGGTTCTTAAAAGGATTAGAAATGTAGGCTATACCCTATCATAAATAGTTTAAAGATGAGAAAATGTAAAGCAAAGCCCCGGCTGTTCAATGATGTATGAGATCTTGCTGTTCTGTGTGGCAAAAGCAGCAGGTGTGTCTGCTGTTCTAGAGATAGCTACCCATTTTTATTCAGCTAATAATCTTAGGCGTTTGCAATGATAGTGCACTCACCTTCAAAGGAGATCATCAATTAAGTGCTAATAGAGGCATTTTCGAAAGTGCCTATATAGTACATTGTGTTTAAATATTTGCCCCTTTAGTTATTCAGATACATTGTGAGAGTCATAATTAGTCAACAACATAAGTAATTTTGCATAACATAGAACCAATTTCTTCATTGTGCTTATCCTGGTAGACAATTAAACCAGAACAGTCATTGTTTTGGGACTTTATTCTGAAACAAGCAATTCAAATTCTTCCTTCTTATAAACATGTTGAACAGAAAATGTTAATTTTCAGGTTAGTCCTCTTAAGCTTTCATAGCTGAGGAACTCTTCATTTTTATTTACAGGTACATTCTTACACCGAAAGGTTTACATTTGTTTCTCTACTTCCACTTGCTTGTAACACCTCTTAAATACTTGTAAAAGTTATTTCTTTGCTAGCGCTGTCTTGTCACTGTGACACACTTAGAGATTTTCCCTTGAGTTTTCTCTGCTGCAAAAGGCAATAATGTCCTCTTACATTTATTTCCTAGCACCATTATTGATGAATCATGAATCACTGATGTCAACATACCTTAGGAATGGGGTTTGTTAGTTTTGACTTTGCTCCCTTTGCCAGCTGGCTAAGTGACTGCAGAGAGCTCAAGATTATTGGATTTGCTGTGTATAGATAAAGACACATAGATATGAATTTAATTTCCTGGTGTCAAAGTCATGGCTTTTAAAATAATTATCCTTTTACAATCTTTCCCACAAGATTTCAACCACTTTAAATTAGGTCATGTTTTGGACTTTCTGAAGGCATACTTTGGCCACTCTAACAAAAAGCTAATCCTCTTCATAATCTCATTGTCTTCAGCAAGAATATATGCAGGAATGCACATAGTCAGGAGAATAACTGATTGTGGTATCTGGCCTCTTTTATATATTGGAATTATAACCTACATAGCAATAAATTCCCTCTGTACAGTATCTTCTAGAAAGCCATAAATGAGTCACCTTGTCAAGCTTTACACCTCTGAGGTACAAAATACTATACCAGTTTCCTTACTTTTTCTTTTGTATTTATATTCCTTGCTTTATGTAGTATTAAATAAGAGAGAATGACCTCTGATAGTACATCTATTTGCTTTTTAGGACTGTTCTTGGGTAGATGTGTATTCTGCTTGTAATGCACCAGGCTTAACATCATCATACACCTAATTGAAATAACATGGGCTAAAGCTCTTGGCATAAAAATAAAGATATACCCAGAAACAACTGATTTATAGACAAGTTAACTTGCTCTCATGCAAAATGCCACGGATTTTTTTTACAGATAAATAGACTATATCTGCCACAGTTGTAAATGTATTTTTTTTATATAAGAAGAGTTGGACATATAAATTAGGTGTTGTTCATAATTCCAGCTTTCTTCCAAAAGAAAATTAAAGGAAACAAACAAAATTTTAGATCCTTTAGAAAAGATAAGAGTAGAAGTAAAACTTCATAGAAGCCAATATTTTATTTTTAAAACAAAGGGGAAAATGAGTTGGCATCAGTGATGCTTTCCTAAGCAGCTCTGCTGTTTCAAATGCTGGCTGCTTCTTGATTGCTGACTGCCAATTTGCTGCTTTGCTGGCACACTGCAGGAAATTAAAGTAAACAGTGTGATCACAGTGTTTACTTTAACTTTGTAAAATACGGAAGGAAAATGAAGCAGTGCTGTTTGTTCCAGGAGGGTAGGCAGGCAAGCAGGAAAAGCCTGAACACAATATCCCTCCCAGATATCCCTACACAATATTCCCTTGTAAATGTCACTTGCAAATTATACTGCAAGATTAATCAGTGTTACTTGTAAAATAGTTACATCTCTTCCAGAAATATTGAGCGAGGACTTAGGCTGTCAGAGAAAGTTTCTATTGGAGCAAGGCAGTAACTCTGTTCTGAAGTACAGCGTAGGAGGATTTATCATTTTACAGAGGTAAAAAATACATCAGTGCAAAGCGGTATTTTGTATCAAAATACAGAATCCCTGTTAGAACACAGGGCGATTTTTATAAATCCAGCTGAATCAAATTGAAATCATGCTCAATATCTGAACACAAACATATTTTCTTGTTTTATGGAGGGTCAAAAGACCAACTCTCTGGCTTTTGCCAGCTATAAAAAAAAGTTTTCCTGTGAGACCTCAGTTCCTGGTTCTACTGTGATATTGCTGAGTCCCACCATTGACTTTTATTGCAGTCACTGAATTTGTTTGGATTCACTGGTGTCATTGTTGCCATTCTGCAGCACCCAATTTGTGTAGAGTTTTTATAGAGGGAAATTTTGCTTTCAAATTAAAATGACTCTGTAAAACCACTGTGCATAATAATTTTATTCTAGCTAAAACTTTTCTTCAATAGAAAATTAT